CCCGAAGCGATAGAGTTTACCCACGTTGAGGTTGACGCCCGGAAAGCTGGATGGTTGCAGGCATGAAACTTTGAAGCTTGAGGGTCCGGGGCATGAAGTTGAAACGCTTGCGTTTGGATGGGTTGAAGCCCAAAACCCCCAAATCTAGACTCCCCTCAACTCTCATGCCCCTGGTTCAGCCCCTGATTGCCACGTGCGGTGCCCAATTCACAGTGAAACCAATGTCAATGTGTTTTCTAACACTGGGGGTCTTCAAACAAATCCCCTGCTTCCCTCCTCTTGATCCCCACCAGAAGGGCCAACAGCCCTCCCCTGCCCCTAGTTGTCTTTACCTGTGCCGAACTCATGCTGCCAAACTACTCTTCGCCTGCGGCCGGGCCGAGGCGGACGATGCGAAGCTTGTACCAGAATATATACATGATTCAGAACGCATCCACGAGACTCACGACACGACTAAGTGCCAAGCCTGGACCCATTTGAGGTTTCTACATGTTAAATCATAAGATCCTTCTTGAAAACGTCCTTCTACCAACGATCCTACGAAAATCAGGAGCCCTTGTTCTCTGAACTCCCGGCGATCCTCAACCACAGCCGGTCTTTGCCATGCCTTGGCAATGCCAAATGCACCAACGATCGTCAGTACGATTCTGAGGTTGATGGCCTCGGATTTGGCAAGCCCTGTAGACTGCTTGGCTATACAGTCTACACTCTACACCGTTTAAACCATAAACCGCAGTCATCATGTGAACCTCTTAAATCAGCACAACTACCATTGAACACCGAAGTGCTGCTAAGAATGTGCAGACCAAGCGCACGTACCGGCACAACACTGTAAATGCCGAACCATCTTCCGCGAAATTACAAGTATCGACATGAGAGAAACTCTTAATCAAACCAAACATGGTAGGGTCGTGGGAAATGTCGTAAATACCCTGTAGGCTAAAGGAGCTGCTTAATAAGGTGTAGAACAAGTGCTGCTGGTGCACTACAACACTGCGATGCACTGCACTCCGCTTACTTCGATACTACTGCACTGCAGTCCACTACTCTCCGCGACAGATCCCACCCTTGGGAAACTCTGGTATGTCTGTCTGTCTATCTGTCTGTCAGTCCGTCTGTATGAATGCATGTATGAATGCATGTATGTATGCATGCATATATGTATGTATGTCACCATATGTACGTATATGCATTATTGTATGTCTGTTTGCGTATGTATATATATATACACATGTGTAAATTTATACGTAGATACGCATGTGTACATGCATACATAAATAGACAGAGGGGTTATGTTTGTATGCATTATATATAATACAGAAACGTGCCTGCAACCTGACCAACATGCATCTCGCAAGGTTGAGGGTTTGCGATTTATGCATGGTCGTGGAAGGGTTTTGCGTGGGGAGCTGAACCCCAACTGCCATCATCTAGACCCCAATGTCCTAAGGCCTCCGGAAACACTTGAAGACGGACGGCGCTGAATGCCTTCTGTTGCGGGAGGCATCCCGTCACCACCTTTGCATGAGAAGGTCACATTTGATCCAAGTTGAAGATAATTTATAAGAGTTGTCTTTTATGGTACAGCCATTGGGCTTTGGAGTGTAACTGTAGTCGCGTTGTGGAGGATGGGTGGGTGGCGCGAGGATTGACCTTATCCTTGTCTTGGACATACGCTGGGGCGTTAGTAATGAAGATCACACCTCAAAGAAAGAGGACAACCGGCACCCTCAGCCGCCAAATGTTATGAAGACAGGAAAGGCTTGTCTCGGCATTTACGGTGTTTCCGGCACATATATATAATAGACTTACATACCTATATATACGAATGCGTATACACATATATACACATACACTCGCATGAATCCGGAAGGCCTTGAACCCTAGTCTGGGACCTCAGGATTAGATTGTGGGTTGAGAGCTTCGGGAGTGCCGTCCAAATGTCGACCGGTCGCGCGAAGTAAGTTATGCCAAGATCTGGATTCTCTCGCCGGCGTGCGCACACAATTGCTTTGTGTTTCTAGCATTGGTTAAGGGGAAACCGTGAGGTGTAAATGCTGACTCCTGACGCCCAAAACCGCAAAGTATCGAAAATAGGAGCCCGCCTGCAAACAACAAATTACGTGTGGGCTAGAGCTTGAAGGGTTTGGGGCGCAGAGTCAAAACATATCTAAGGGTTGACCGCCTGAGCGTTGACTGACTGTTAAGACCAACAGCTGCATCAGAACACCTTAGCCCCACATCCTGAGCCCATGAAGTTTCCTCGATAGCCTCCTCCGAGAGAGTTCTAAGAAAACCCGACTCAATGTCTTCAGAACCCACAATACCTTGAAAAACACAAATGTCAAGCTCTGCTTAATTACGATAACTTCGATACTACCACTACCCCAAACCAACCCTAAACCCCTCGAGGCCTTGAACGCAAACTCTTTGAGTTGACACTAAACTAAACCCTGAAGCCCATATACGCAGTTTGAATCCTAAAACTTTAAATCCTTTAACCTCCAAAAAATATGGAACCTAACAATCCTAGAGCCTTGATCCTCAGGCTTGAGGAGCACCTAAGGTCGAGGCCATCAGGAATGACGTCAGCAAGGCAGCTTCAAGCAAAGGCATCCTCAAGTTCGGAGGTGAGTGGCACCGTATTTGGTACAGATGCTATTACTGTTTGCGGGTTTTGTGCATCTTGTTACATGTCAACACGTTCGACGGCTGCTGCTGTTCTGCTGTTGGGGGGTGTTTTTGCTTGCTGTTGATGCGTTGTCTTCATTTGTGCTGTTGCTGCGGACGTGTGTGTGTGTGTGTGTGTGGAACACCTGTTTGCCAAGGTAGCAGTTTGTAAAGCAGGGGATGGTTCTGTTGCAGGGCTGAGGGCCCGTCACTTGGCACCTCAGCCAACGAAGACTGCCAGTGACAGGGCGTGTAAACGTACCTGCGAATCAAGGGGGAGGGTGCACGTGGGTCGTCGTGACAGCTGGTGGCCCTCATGAGGAATTCCTGGTCCGTCGTGGCAGCTGGAATCCTCACCCCTTACAAGCACAAGTTTGTTTTTTCTGGAGTGGCATGGGGCTAAGCCTAGAAACCCAATAAGCTGCAAAGTTCTTGGCTTGTTTTTGTCTGGATATATGGCAAGAGGCAAAGCCAAAATCCTCTTAAGATCCTACTCCTCTGTGTTGGAAAGACTGAAAACCATGTGAAAGACTGCTATCACGTATGCTATAAATCAGTCCAGAGGGAGGATTGCACGAGTGTGCTTCTAGACGGCGTTCGCCTGTCGTGTCGTCTACGGTAGGGTTGCCTACTGCAATGGCCCTGATCGGCCCAGTTACAGTCCAGGACCCTGATCGGTCCCATCCTCAACCCAAATCAGAGTGTCCAGCAAATGCTCCTCGGAGCAATCATGTATTCGTGACAAGCCTGATCGCTTAGTTGCAGACGGGAACATTTTGCAAGCATCTACAGGTTTGAGACCAGTTAGGCCCCGGGCTCTGTTTCAGTTACCAGTCTACAACAGAGTGTCCTCCTCTCTGGACGCATTTCCACAGCCATGCCTTCTTGGAACACGTGCCAATCGGGTGAATCAAGCATCAGCTGGGATAAAGACGACAGCTGGGAGAAAGACAACAGCTGGCGGAAGATCAAGGAAATCAACCCAGCGTACATGCAGGTCGAAATGCTTGTTGAACACCGTTTCTAAGCGCCTTGGCTGTTTCAGCTGTCGGTCGGCAAGCACTGCGGGGCTGCGGCAGTTGGGTAAGACCTGCGAACTGCAGCTGCTTGGCCGTATTAATAATAGGACATGCGCTGCAGGGCTGCGGCATTCTGTAAGACCGGCGAACTGCAAGTGCAGTCCTCTAACGGGGTTTGAAGTGCCCAACGTGGGCCACCACTTTCCTTTCCTTTTTCTTTTCTTTTTTCTTTTTCCTTTTAACAGGACATGCGCTGCAGGCTGCGGCATTCTGTAAGACCTGCGAACTGCAAGCGCAATCCTCCAACGGGGTTTGAAGTGCCCAACGTGGGCCACCTCTTTCCTTTCCTTTTTCTTTTCTTTTTCCTTTTCCTTTAACAGGACATGCGCTGCAGGGCTGCGGCATTCTGTAAAACCTGCGAACTGCAAGCGCAGTCCTCCAACGAGGTTTGAAATGCCCAATGTGGGCTACCCCTTTCCTTTTCTTTTTCTTTTATTTTTTCCTTTTCCTTTCAACAGGACATGCGCTGCAGGCTGCGGCATTCTGTAAGACCTGCGAACTACAAGCGCAATCCTCCAACGGGGTTTGAAGTGCCCAACGTGGGCCACCTCTTTCCTTTCCTTTTTCTTTTCTTTTTCCTTTTCCTTTAACAGGACATGCGCTGCAGGGCTGCGGCATTCTGTAAAACCTGCGAGCTGCAAGCGCAGTCCTCTAACGGGGTTTGAAGTGCCCAATGTGGGCTACCCCTTTCCTTTTCTTTTTCCGTTTCCTTTTTCCACATTATACTTTAAGGCTTCACAGCCAACAGCCAGCCCTCCTGCAGAGCCTTTTGTTATTATTTTTCTTTCTCTGTTTGTCCAGTGTGGCTAACCTGCACCTCTTTTGTGCAAGGAGCCGCAATGCCCAAAAGAGGCCAATCGGCTACCCCGCACAGCGGTGTGTGTGTGTGTGTGTGTGTGTGGAACACCTGTTTGCCAAGGTAGCAGTTTGTAAAGCAGGGGATGGTTCTGTTGCAGGGCTGAGGGCCCGTCACTTGGCACCTCAGCCAACGAAGACTGCCAGTGACAGGGCGTGTAAACGTACCTGCGAATCAAGGGGGAGGGTGCACGTGGGTCGTCGTGACAGCTGGTGGCCCTCATGAGGAGTTCCTGGTCCGTCGTGGCAGCTGGAATCCTCACCACTTACAAGCACAAGTTTGTTTTTTCTGGGAGTGGCATGGGGCTAAGCCTAGAACCCCAATAAGCTGCAATGTTCTTGGCTTGTTTTTGTCTGGATATATGGCAAAAGGCAAAGCCAAAATCCTCTTAAGAT